AATGTCATGTATACATTACTTATCATATATAGCGAAATTGATGTGATTGTTGTTTCCATTCCCATTACAACCTATATCGCGGCCGCTGTCTCGATAAAGTAAGAACTGTATACACATACATAAAATAAAATGTTCTTGTGAGGTCTTATTTGTCGTTGACATCACAAGTATCTGAGGGTGATGACTTTCGTGCTGAGACACAAGCTGTTTATATACAAAAGTGGACTAAATCTTGTTTGTTGTTGTTTCACGAGAGCTTCAAATGACAGTACAGTACGGCTGGTCCACATGGCCTTCCATAATAAACAAGAGAAAGAGAGAAGTGAAGAAGGATTCCCCATCCACACCCGGAAAGCTAGATCAACCAAAAGTTATTTTTATTGTTCGATCCCCCAGGACCGGCTGAATAAGGGAGCCGGTCGGCCGAGCGGACAGCAGACTGGACTTGTGATCCTGTGGTCCTGGGTTCAATCCCAGGCGCCGGCGAGAAACAATGGGCAGAGTTTCTTTCACCCTATGCCCCTGTTACCTAGCAGTAAAATAGGTACCTGGGTGTTAGTCAGCTGTCACGGGCTGCTTCCTGGAGGTGGAGGCCTGGTCGAGGACCGGGCCGCGGGGGCACTTAAAAAAAAAAAACGAAATCGTCTCAAGATAACCCCCTAACAATATTTGGTAAATCCTGTGGTAACGTCAAGATGTTGATCAACAGTAGTTAACCTTAGTGCTTCCCGATCGTCGAGGAGGATTAAGCCCATGTTCTCCAGTGACTGCTATTAAAGAATACAACTTTCACCGTGCTCCTGTTCAAGGCCATACGCCGACGAGTGGACTGTGCAAAGCCCAAGATAAGCGATGTTGAGCAAGTCTGGGACTGCCTTTCTAGTACAAAGACTTGCTGACTCATCGAGCAACATACCAGACGTGGGATTATTGCTGAATTATTTCACACGTAGACTAGACTTACATATGAATGAGTTTGGTGGGTATAAATATGAGCTGCCTCGTAGGGGTCAATATTTATTTATTGTAACTGCCATCTGCAGTTTTCTTGACTCATATTTTCTCTTACACATTCTCTTAAATCAGACTATATTTGTACACTTCTAAGCCTTAGCTCCAGCTACACTACAAAATAAGAAATATTAGCTCTGTTTACATACATTTTTTGCAATGGGAACATATGTGGGATTATATATTGCTCTGCAGCACCCAAACATATTTCTGTTCACACCTGTAACTTGATTTCATTGGCATTTGTTCGTCTGTCATGGATAAACCTATGATCAGTAGAGTCTTCTTTAAAATTTGCCGACATCGATGCATTATAGCTACAATATAGTAAGAAAAATCAATTGTTTTGATTTTGATTAATGGGGTGAAGAGTCGCTACCAACAACTTGGAGGGTGGTGAGGGGAGGCGGTCAATTATTAATGGGAGCATTGAGGCCATCTCCAACCTATCTGTGTCGGGCATCTACCCCACGGCAATCACCCTGCAAAGTTGGGTGAGGCTAACTCCAAGTATCGAACAGACAAATATTTCCATTTATATTGACCAGACCACACACTAGAAATTGAAGGGACGACGACGTTTCGGTCCGTCCTGGACCATTCTCAAGTCGATTTTGAGAATGAGATGAGAAAATCGACTTGAGAATGGTCCAGGACGGACCGAAACGTCGTCGTCCCTTCAATTTCTAGTGTGTGGTCTGGTCAACATACTTCAGCCACGTTATTGTGACTCATCGCCTGCATTTCCATTTATAGATATAAATGTAAACCTGTACACCAGTTGATTAATGGTCGAGAGGTGGCATTAAAAAACCGAAGCTCAACCGCCGCAGGCACAAAAAGGTGAGTACACTAGATGGGATGCCCGTGACCCTGGCACCCAACACATAAAGGGTAAAATATTTTCGGGCACCGCTGGGTACACCAACTATAGAGCAATATAAAAGTAAGTGCCCATCAGAGTGCCCACTGGTCCACCCAGGAACCAGATACTATTGGCCAATCCCACCCTCGAGGTGCGCGACTCTTCCGAGGACACGTCACCAATGTAAGAGTTTGCGGCGGTCAAGAATGACACGGTTCCGCCTCCCAGTGTGTCCAGAAGCGTGACCGCAAGTAGCACTTCGGCAGGCCATGAAGGTGCCAAAGACGCCAGCAAGTAGCCCGCGGCGTGGAGTGCGTGGCCCACCTGCACTGCCACCAGCGGCACCTTCCTGCCATACTTGTCACTCCAGGCACCCATAAAGAGGATGAAGAAGAGTGGAAGAGCGGCGGCGATGATGCCGTTATAAAGGGCGAAGACACTGTACCTCTGCTGCACCTCCACATTGGCTCCAGGTTGTGCCCTGAGGTTGTCACACACCTGCTGGGAGAAGCCGCTGGTCACTCTACACACCCGATCCATCTGCAGGTTCTCTATGTACACGTGTATACTGGAGAAGGCGAGACCATCGAGCAGCATCAGGGGCTCCACGGTCACGCCCTTCATCACGCCCAACACCCGCGAACAGTTGTGCAAGAACCTAATTCCATCTTCCACTTCTGCCCATTAATTACTCTTAAGGGACAGTATGTTGCTTAATGATTCAGGAAAATTTTGTTTCCCCTTTGTTTTTGGCCTATAGCCAGATATTTATAACATAACACTATGTCTTCATTCCTGAGTACCTAATCCCGTACGTGGTTTGCTATACTTCTGAAGTACAGAGTAAAACATTATCTGGTGTACTCTGGAGGTCGATATGAAGAGACAACGAGACGAACACTTTTTTTTTTATATCCGCATCCTCTTCCTTGAGAAGCGCGTGACGTCAAGAGGTGGCGGGAAAATAACCCGGCAGGGTAGAAGCTCACTTCCCCGCTCGGCCCTCTCTCTTCTCCCTGAATATGTTATATATTAATACTGCCTTTGTGCCTACAGATAGTCACTTGCTTCTTGGATGTGTTCATCCCTCACCTTCAACAATGGATGACACTTGATGAGGTGTTTACACAGACTAAATATGGGAACGTTTCGTTGAATTGTTAATGTAATAGTTATATAAATGCCACACGTCTTGTTTAATGGATGGTGCTGAAGTTAAATAGGGGTTGAATTGCCGGAATGAATGAATGTTTTGGCTGCCAATCTGTTGCCAAAACAAGTTCCATAAGTCTGTGCATCTTGAATGACACACGAGCTACGACACTGTTCTGTCAGGGCAAAAGGAACATGCATTTAGTAGTCATCAGTTGCACCTCTTCTTTGGTGTGTTATCCTTGTTACGTACTCCTAGCAGAATACGTATATAAATTTAAAATAAATATTATTTTATTTTATCATTGCATGTATATGTACACACATTGTGTTTTGGGTAAATTGTCGTGTGGTTTGGCAGCGTCAGTGGACAGGAGAGCGGTTGTCTCTGCACACGTCTATTACTTGATTGATACGGGAAAGCTGGACCTGTTCAGTTTGAGAGTTCCAGATGTCACTTTTATTTAGTTAGGAAATGTTTTATATACTGTAATTAAACAGGTGTCATTATACTTATATATTTTGTAAGCAACTATTATATGTAACTTGCAGTCTTATGTGTTTTGAGAACAAGTGGTTGTTCAATTAGTTTATAATATTAAAAAGTCCTTAGTTTCCATCCCTCATCCTGGGATGAGGCAGACGGGAGGTGAGAATGTGGGTGGCGACAGAGCGAGAGTTCAGTAGCTTCGGGGAACTAGGAGGAGTAACAAGTGGGAGATAAGTCTGTTATTATTCATTTGTTGCCATAATTACTATTATATATATTGTGCCATGACTATACAATCATATTCTATAAGTTAACTTTACCATCTGTGTTTTTATATTATACTGTTTTGAATATATAGCTATCATATTGTGTATCTATTCTTCAGTCCTAAACGAAGATTGTTAATTATGTGCTCATTACCTATTAAGGGGTTATACTGGTGATTCGCTATTGAGAACAGCAGTTGTGTCGTATCCCTAGATGTAATTAAAGTTTGGCTGCTGTAGAGTCACGAGCCGTAACGTACGATAGGTAACAAAGAGTTATGGGGGCCTGTGCCGGGAAATATTGTCCCACTTTAACTTAACTATGCTAATCTAACCTTGCCTTCCTAGGTACCAGTGTCAAGTGTCTCTGTGTGTTTCTTAAGAACTATTCCATGTGCCAAGCAAGCCTTCCTGTGTGTCAAGTAACAACGTTTCACGATTTTGAGGTAAGTCATCCTATATATTTTGTTTGTGCAGTGAGGCCAAGCGAATTTTCAGTGTGGTGACAATTTTACAGTGAAGTGTAGTGCAGTGCCATTATTTTAATTATTTTTGTGAATCAAGTGCCAAGTGTTAGTAACGATGGAGGAGAAAGTTGCAGCGTTGGTGGCTCACCCAGACTTTGAAGGGATTCAGAACCTTAAAAAGACTGAGTTAATACAAATGGCAAATCATTTGGATTTGACCGCCAGCAATAGAATGGTTAAAGCCCAAATATTGAAAGTCATTGTGACGCATTTTGTTGAGAATGGGGAGTTAGGTGAAGAAATTCTAGAGGAGTTAAGAGAGGAGTCGAGTGATCAGATGACGTTAAAGCGTCTTGAGTTAGAAGCTCGCCAATTAGAGCTTGAAGCTCAAAAAGAACAGAAAATATTAGAGGCTGAAGCTCGTCAAAGAGAGATTGAAGCTCAACAGCAACAGCAAATATTAGAGGCTGAAGCTCAGCAAAGGGAGCTAGAGACTAGGCGTTTAGAAATTGCGGCACAAAACCAGAGAGGTTTAATTGAGTTGCAACTTGAAGCCACAAAGAAGCAACAAGCCGAGGAACAAACTAGGCAATTAGAGATTCAACAACAAATGGCTGACACTAACTTCAGGCTTGAATCACAGCGTATGGCAGCTGGGCATGGAAATACTAGTAATGTTTCAACAAATAGTGATAATAATCCCATCAGGATGAATAAGTATATAGAGTTGCCCAAGTTCAATGAGGAAGATCCTGAGGTTTTCTTTGCACATTTTAATAAAATTGCCATCAGTATGAACTGGCCAAGGGATCAGTGGGTAGCCATTATGCAGTCTCAATTCAAGGGGCGTAGTCAGGAGGTTTTCACATCCCTACCTGACGCTCATAGTTTTGATTATGACTTTGTAAAGAAAAGCATCCTAAATGCTTATCAACTAAATCCAGAGGCACACAGGCAAAAGTTCAGAAATCTAAGGAGGACAAGTGATCAGACAATAGCAGATTTTACTCGTCAGAAGACGAAATTTTGCAACAGATGGTTAAAGTCACTTCCAGTCACTGATTTTGATGCTTTAAAGAATCTTCTTATAATGGAAGAAGTATTGTCATGTCTCCCAGACCAGTTGTCTACTTTTATGGCAGAACAAAAGAATGTAACAGACATTGATGAGCTGTCAAAGCTCGCGGATGAGCATGAGTTGTTGACTAAGGCCCCGTTTACGGCCACTTCACCTAAGTCTAGTCGTAGAGTAAATTATAATGCTCACCGAACTCCTTATCAGAATCCATCCAGTCCTAGTACTCCAGTTACTCCCATGAGCTCTTCTCTTACAAAACCTAACCCTGCTACTTCATTGTCAGGAATGTCAAATAATAATAAGGTTATTTCTAAACCTACAGTTGGTTCTACCAGTGTGTCCACTGTAAGGTCCTGTTCCCATTGTAAGAGAAAAGGCCATGGAATTCATTCATGTTTTATATTGCACCCTGAGTTACGACCAACTGGTCTCATTTATTGCAGAGGTGTGCAAAATAAACTTACTAATAAACATGTAACTGTAAACCCCAATTGGGTGAAACAGTATTCACCATATATGTCTTCAGGTGAAGTCTTGTGTATTAATGGAAAGTGGAAGCCAGTGGTTATTCTTCGTGATACAGGTGCTTCCCAAACCATAATTTCATCCAGTATTCTTTCTGATGTTGAAAAGAGAGAGACAGGAAAGTTTGTTGTTCTTCAGAGTGTTGCAGGATGTAAAACTGTACCTCTAATAGACATTAATTTCAGATCCACCATTACACCACGTTTATGCACTGTGGGTGTTAGTACACAGTTGCCCATCCCAGGTGTGGATGTTATATTGGGTAATGATGTGGCCATAAATCATGTTGTGGGTGAGATTGATCCCCGTTTGTGTAAACAGCCAGTTGCAGACCATGTTTATTCTGCCTGTGCTGAAGTTAGTTCTATGAATGAACCTGTTGTAGAAGATGGTTTTGTCCATTCTACCTGTGCTGATGTCAGTACTAATATAAATCCAGTTGTCAGTTCTGATGTTGTTACTCAAGCATTTGTTCCAGTAACCAGTACCCCTTCAGTGGAGAAGTGGGATGTGGTTGTTCCAGATTCCTGTGTGGCCGATTTAGTTGTTGAGAGTAAGCCTGATACTATGACTCTGCTTTATTCCAATAAATTGGGAAAGGATGTCCATGTACCATTGTCTTGCCCGCTCACTACGAACGTTGTGCCAGGAGTTGAGAGAAACTTAAAAGCCACGACTCTGTATTCCAGCCAAGTGAATGGTTTAGGACAAGATGTCGGGTTGGCAGAAGTATTCCCGCTCACTCCAAGTTTAGAATCAGTTGTCGAGAGTAAGTCCGTTGTAGAGGCCCCGCCTCACCCTAGTCAAGGTGATATAATAGGGGAGGAGGTCAAACTACCTGTTACTTGCCCGCTCGCTTCAGATTCCCTTCATTTATGTGCTTTGAGTAGAACTGACCCTAAGATTTCAGAGAGAAGCAAGGAGACAGTCTGTACTGTAGATCCAGTTTTGGAGAGTGTGGGAAAGCAGCCAGAGGATCAGCTTCTGTTGAGTAGATGGAGACCCATTGAGCCTCCCTCTTCAGTTGTCTGTGAGGATGTGACCCAGCTTGGTAGTGATATTGTTGATTGTGAGCAGACAGTACTCCAAGCAGCTCCAGAAGTCATGGGAGGAAATTTTGGTAAAATCATTAAGAGTGGTAAAGTAGCATTTGGATCTAAGTTGCGGAGTTGTGATTCTTATTCTATGTGGAGGAAGTATTTCTCATTGTGTACATTGAGTCAGAGTGTGTGTTGGATGTTGAAATCTACTTTTATTCTGCAGGAGCCATTTTCTTGTGAAGTAATGGACTGTGGGACATCTTTGTCAAGCCTTGTGGTGGAGCAGAGAGAGTTTACTCAAGTAGGTTGTGCATCCAGTTCTGAGGAAGTGGTGAGTTATGCTAGAGCAGTGTCTCTATATTCAGATCCAGTTAATTTTGATGCACGAGTGATAAAAGTGTATGTTCCACTTAAGTGTGGTGTTGACTTTCAGAGTCATATTGGAGTTGATTTTCAGAGTCATATTGTGGGTGAAGGATTAAATCATACTGGGGAGCAGATGTTTGAGGCTCCAGGTGTGCAATTCAAGTTGGAGGATAAGGTTATCCTACCTAGAGTTAATCATTGTGAAGGGTTTCAGATTGTCCTTGGGCGTTTTCCAGGTAA